GTAAACACTAAGCATTAAAAGACTGATGTGCCTATATTACTATTGGGCAGAGTGGACAAATTCCTTGAGAAACAAAAATTACCGAAACCAATACAAGAAGACATAGAAAGTCTAAATAGTCCTGTATCTACTGAAGAAATTGAATTCTTAATCAAAAACCTTCCCACAAGGAAAATTCCAGGTCAAGAGGGTTTAACTAATGAGTTGTGACATTTAAGAAATAAATAAAACCAACTTTACATAGACTAGGTTATAGGTTAAGTTCCCCAAGAAACGGACTTTAAGATAGAGAGTTTTAGTGAAGAGGTTTATTGAGGGGATGCTCTTGGGAACAACACCGATTACGAAGCAAATGGAGAAAGATTGAGCAGAAGGAGAAGTTGAACAAAAATAAAATTGCAACAGAGGTTTCAGCCTCTTTAAAGTTGTCCCAAACAGAGGGGCATTCCAGGTCTTTATAGTCCTGTGTCAACCTCATCATTGGGTGCAGACTAGGAAAGACAGCTCCACTGATCCAAGATCATTTCGAGGAAAGGACCCATCAACAGGCACCATTCCCAGAAGCTAGAAAAACTAAGTCCTTCATTCCTGAAATGGGTTTCTGGAATGGTTGAAAATACCATAGGATCTATTACAAACTCACTCAGAGAGTAGAAAAGGAACAAACACTTTGCAACTCATTTTATGGAGCCAGCAAAAATCCAACAGCAAAAACTAAAAAAGATAATGACACGAAAATTATAGGCCAATATTCCTCTTGAATATAGGTGCACAATTCCTTAATAAAATATTGGGAAATTGAATCTGTAATACAGTCAAACAATAATACATCATGACCAACGGGTGTGTATTCCGGGAATTTGAGATTGGTTTGATATAAAAAAGAAAGCAACATAAGTCACCAGACTAAAAGAATGAAGGGTAAAAATCACATGATCATCTCAAAAGATGCACAAGAAGCATTTGACAAAACTCAATTCCCATTCGTGGTCTTTTTAATTCTCAGAAAATGAAAAATAGAAAAGAGCTTCCTCAATCTGATAACAAGCGTCTAAGAAAAATCTACAGCTAACATCCTACTTAGCATGAAACACTGAAAGCTTTCTCCCTAAGAGCAGGAACTAGACAAGAATGTGTGTTCCCACCCCACCAGAACAATAAAGTAACAAAGTGGAATAAAAACCACACAGAATGGAAAGGAACACATAATGTTCACAAATGAAAGGATTGTTGATATAGAAAACTCTAAGGAATCTACAAAAACACTAACAAAACTAATAGATGAATTCAGCAGGTTCACGGGACACAAAACCAGTACCTAAAAATTAACTGTATTTCCATGTACTAGAAAGGAACAATTGGAAGATGAATTGTTTTAAAACAACCTAATTAAAAATAGCATCATAAATTAATTACCAAAGAATGAACCTAACAAAAGCTGGGCAAGACCCCTCTATTCAAAATTCAAGATCTACGTTAATGGGGAGATCCCATGTCCATTCTCTTTGAGTTTATTTGTAATTCAATGCAAAATCCCAGCAGTCTTTTTTAATAAGCCGAGTCTAATATATATGGCCATGTAAAAGACCTCAGATGGCCTGAAACGTCTTTAAAAAGAACAAAGTTGGAGGACTTTCATGATGGGATTCCAAGGTTTTACCCATAATGTTACAAGAAGATATCAAGACACAAGTGTGAAGCAAGGATACAGGGAACTTCAAGAAGACAGAAAAATATGGGGTGCCCGGGTGGCTTAGTCGGTTAAGCGTCCGACTTTCGCTCAGGTCATGATCTCACGGTTCGTGGGTTCGAGCCCCGCGTCGGGCTCTGTGCTGACTGGCAGCTCAGAGCCCTGGAGCCTGCTTCAGATTCTGTGTCTCTCCCTCTCTCTCTGACCCTCCCCTGCTCACGCTGTCTCTCTCTCTCTCCTAGAAATAAAAAAAAAAAAAAAAAAAAAGAAGACAGAAAAATAAGAGAACCAGGATTACCAAGCATATTTTAATAGAATTATAGAAATAAAAATATAATTAAAATTTAAAACACAGTGAATAGATTGAATTAGAATCAGCTAAAGAGGCTCTTGGGAAAACAGAAGATAAATTTGAAAAAAATATCCAAAAGGCCCATGAGATAGAAATGGAGGCAGAAAAAAAAAGTGAAGAGTTAGATAGAATGAAGTGAAAATGGGAACATATAGTTGACCCTTCAACAACACGGGTTTGAACTGCACGGGTCAACGCAGACCCAGATTTTTTTTCAATGGTACAGTACTATGTAGATGATGAATATTTGTTCACTGATATCCTACTTCAGATCTAAAAGGAGTCAGTGTGACTTACAGAGATGGAGTAAAGCAGAATTTTGTTATGACGAAGCCAAAGCAAAAGGGAAATAGGGTGGAAATACATGATAAAGTTGGATTAGCATAAACATACATCCAGAAAGCCTTGCTAGAAGATGGTGGACAGTTACCTCCAATACTCCCAGCAGCAAAGGCAAAGAGGAAAATATGGTCATTTTTAACATTTCTAATGTCCTAAGCATTAAATCCAAACCAGTCAGGAGAATGACAGCTTTCCCTGGTTCAGGGACCTCAGAGAACTGAGACCCCAGTAAAGTGGAATGTGCACAAGTTAACAGACACTTCGGATATATCCCTCGACAAATCCAACGACCTATTTTTTTGCCCTAGTTTCTTGCAATGTCCTTCAGTGAAGGCCAATGTGAAAGCAATTCTACAAGGACCAAACCAGTGAAGTCCAGGTACACAGCTCTCTGATGTCTGGCTCAATTCAAGGACAAGGTTTATAAGAACTAGGGTCATGGTTCTTGACTGTTGGGGGTTTGTGGGTCACTCTGAGGATCCAATTAAAGCACAGGCTGTGTCAGCGACATTTCCTGAAATATGTAACATATTTGCTGAGTCTCAATTCCAATTCCCATGAGGTCCCGATGTGTCAGTTTGTTACGCTTGTATTCCATTACAACTGAATAATACTAACAACAATAGCAATGGTAGGAATAGTAGACAATAATAATAACAAGAGCAGCAACAAATGCTCATGTAATACCATGTATCCAGCACTTTTTTAAATGGATGGACAAATTCCGTAAGCCTCCAAGCACACGCACACCTTGCTTGTGCAAGCTTGTATAGATTTTCTTTCTTTAGGCAAGGAGAAGGCATTAAAAAGCTACGGTAAGTTCTTTAAAGAAGTGGAATCAGTCAAAGACATCTTGTCTCAGAAGAATCTGTCGCAAATGTTTATGAAGCTGAATAACCCAAGATGGAAAGACTAGAAACAGGAAGACCGGTGGGGAGGGGTCCCAGCAATCTTGGTATAAAGTGGTGGACAGGGGATTAAATATACAGAGAGAAACAAGTGTTAACGAGGATGTGGGCAAAGGGGAACTTTCTTGTGCTGTTGGTGGGAATGCAAACTGGTGTAGCCATTGTGAAAAACAGTACGGAGGTTTCTCAAAAAATTAAAAATAGATCTAATAGTTGCCCAGGAAGGTATTTACCCCCCAAAATACAAAAACAGTAATTCAAAGGGATACATGCACCCCTAAATTTATAGCAGCATTATTTACATGAGGCAAGATATGGAAGCAGCATGGACCAAATGTCCACTGATACATGAATGGATAAAGAAGAGTTGGTACACACACACACACACACACACACACACACACTGAAATATTATTCAGCCATAAAAAGGAATGAAATCTTACCATCTGCAATGACGTGGATGGAGCTAGAGAGTATAATACTAAGCAAAATAAGTCAGAGTAAGACAGATACCATATAATTTCATATATATGTGGAATTTAAGAAACAAAATAAATACGCAAAGGAAAGAAGAGAGAGAGAGAGAAGCTAAGAAACAGACTGTCAACTACAGAGAACACATTGATGGTCGCCAGAGAAGCTGGTGGGGGATGGGAGAAATAGGTGATGGGGATGAAGGAGCGCCCTTGCTGTGATGAGCACTAAGTGATGTATGGAAGTGTTGAATCACTATATACTGTACACCTGACACTAATATTACACCGTATGTTGATTATTACTAGAATTAATTTTTAAAATATATATAATACATAATTATATAAAATATGTATATTATATATACTATATATAATATATACATGTAAAATACATGTATTGTATATTCTACATATAATTACATATAATATACTATATAGTACTATACTATGCCATATTATACTATATAGTACTATAGTATACTATAGTGTTATGTATGTATACTATATAGTAATACTATATATCTATATAGTATACATCTATATAGTATATATCTATGTATTATATATACTACATATATACTATATACTATATATACTATACTATATAATACTATTTTACACTGGTATATATAATATATAGTATACATAATATTATATAGTATAGTATATAATTATATATTTATAGTATATATATTTATATGTAAATCTGAGTCAACATGTGAGCCCAGTTGATGACAGGGGTCATGGAGAGGAAAAAGTTCAATGCAGGTGACCTTGCACGAGTTCCTTCCCTCTTCTGTCCTCGGTTCCCCTGTTTGTAAGAGAAGGGAGCTGGGCGGTCTCTGATCCTCTGAGCACATGGGCTGGCACGTGGGCACCTCATGGGCACAGCAGCAGCTCGACAGCGGGTGATGTTTGTGATGTGTGTGGACTGACTTAAACTGATGGCCTCGAGGTGCTACGGCGCCTCCTGAGCACTGAGGGAAAACAGCTTTGTTGTTGACTGTCTTCTCTTCATCCATCAGGAAGCTTTAGAAAGGTTACCAAGTGCCACCATGTGAGCGGGGGACTCCGAGATGGGAGAGACGGCTCCGAGCCTGCAGGAGCGCCCAGCCTGCAGCCCCTGACTTGGGGGAAGAAGCATCGCCTCCAGATGCTCAAAGCCCAGACCGGGGGGGACAAACATCTGAGGCATCAGTGACGACCCCACACGGTGCTGCCCGAGCGTCTACACCAGCTCTGGGGACTCAGAGTGGGGCCCAATGGATTCCGGTGGAAACAGCTTGTGGATCACTGGAAGACAGGAAAACCCATAAAGATGATTCTGTGCTCTCAAAAACAAGTTAAACCTTGAAACCTTATTACATGGGGAGAAATGTCAGAGGGATTGGAATGCCTGCCATTAAAATATCATCAGTGCTCTTAAGCACATTGGCTTTTTTTCACAGCCTACAAGAACACTAACTTTTGTTGAAAAAGAAAGAAATAGCTAAATGCCCATGTCAACTTGGCCTGGTGGGACAGGAAGAGCAAGGGATAGGGACCTGTCTCATCTGTCCTAAGTCATAACATTTCTCTGGATGTTAATTTCCCCGTGTGCAATAAAAATAGCTGTAACCACTTCTGTAAACTGCTTCTCTCATGAACTTCATGGCCACCGTTTGCTGAACGGCTGCAAGGTACCAGACTCCACACTAGGAAGTTTACGTGCAGTTATCATCTCGATTCATCTTCACAGTGAGGACCCAAGGGCCGGGCGTTACTTCACTGTGACTCAGCCCGCAGAGAGCGGACATAACTTTCTGAGTTCAAAAGCCTATGTGGGGTGGAGCCACGTTCTGAACTCACAGCGGTCTTGCTTTAAAGCCTGGCCACTGAAGCCGCCTTTGAGAGTCTGAAACCCCAAGGAAATAAACGTGGGCGAGGCACGCCGGATGGTGAAGCACCCTGAACACTGGACTAGCGACAAGTTGACACCATCCACTCTTTTGAGCCGTGTCCTCTCCTGATGGGGGGAGCTTTGCAGCTGGAGTTAGGATCCAGGTGTCCGAAGAAACACGTAGCTGCTTAGCACTCTCCACTCAGTTGACAGATGCCCAAGGAGAAATAGTCCCAAGTGGTGGAATTGCGTAAAACCTTACCTCCCCCTCCAATGGCCTCCCTCTAGCCCCCAACCCCCTCCGAGGCACGCAGGCATGCAAACCCACACAGGAATCCCAAATTAGCTCAACCTGCCTCCCAGCTGCTGGATGAGCCTAATTAGACCAAATTAATAATTTATTCAAGCAAAATGAGACATGCCAAGAATCTCCGGGGAGGCTGTAAAATGAATATGCCGTCTTATTAGGTATATGTGTCAACACCCCACGCATCCCTTTGGTTTTGGGATAAGAGGCCGAGAACCATTTGACATGATTCACCTTCTTGGGCCACAGCTCTGAAGTCCTCCCACCTGCCTCTCTCCGTGCGTGACATCTGTCCTGCTACACATTCCTCAGCTCCCCTCCTCCTCTCCCTCCTCCCCTCCTCCCGCCCCTGCTCCCTCTCCCCCTCCTCCCTCTCCTCTTCTTCCTTCACCCTGACACATCATTAACCTAAACTCTCAAGATCATTCTCCCCCACCAGAAAGGAAAGCCAGATGACAAGCTAATATTTCCATGTCACACGTTGAATGATTCTTACATAAAAATTAACAGGCACTTGACAAAGTCATAATTACTAACTAATGATGCATTATGCAATTTCCATAATTAGTCATGTTATTGATACTTCCTTCCGACCACAGAGCCAGCAGGGCCACCTTTATTTACAGCGGGACAAATGGCTAGTCTGTGTGCAGGTTGTCACCAGAGAACTTTGGGGAAACACCCTTTCCTAACACACACCCAGACCCGGCCCCGGGCCCATCCTCTCTGGAGCTGGTTTCTCTCAGAGCAACGGGAACAGACCCACCAATTGTGTCCAAGGGCCAATTTGAGGACACCGATGCTTGGCACCGGGGCAAATTTCTGAGTGTCCCAGCCATTTGAGGCACATCATGAAAGGAGGTGTGGAAGCTGAAGACATTTATAGAATTTTGCAAACAGACTTCTCCACTCACTATCCTCCCAGCCATCCTTCTGAAGACTGCACCTATTAACCATTTTACAGGTGGGAACACTGAGGCTGACAGAGGTGAAACCATGTGCCCCAGTGCACAGTGACCACGTGGGGCTGGGATGCAAAGGCACATTTTCTGAGTCGAAGCCTATGTAGGAGGCTGTGCCATATAGCGGGGTCAGATAGCAATTTCAGATATTGGCTTTGCCCCTCAGCAGCCACATTGTTTCAGGCAAGTCACTAACTTCTCTCGTCCCTGGTCTCCTCAGCTTTAAAATGAAAAAAGCGACTGACAGAATGGGAAAAGATAGTTGCAAATGACATATTTGATAAAGGGCTAGTATCCAATATCTATAAGGAACTCACCAAACTCCACACCTGAAAAGCAAACAATCCAGTGAGGAAATTGGCATAAGACATGAACAGACACTTCTCCAAAGAGGACATCCAGATGGCCAACAGACACATGAAACGATGCTCAGTATCCCTCCTCATCAGGGAAATACAAATCAAAACCACACTGAGATACCACCTCACGCCAGTCAGAGTGGCTAAAATGAACAAATCAGAGAACACGAGATGCTGGTGAGGATGTGGAGAAACAGGCACCCTCCTACACTGTTGGTGGGAATGTAAACTGGTGCAGCGCCTCTGGAAAACAGTGTGGAGGTTCCTCAAAAAACTAACAATAGAACTCCCCTATGACCCAGCAATAGCACTGATAGGAATTTACCCAAGGGATACAGGAGTGCTGATGCATGGGGGTTCATGTACCCCAATGTTCATAGCAGCACTCTCCACAATAGCTAAAACATGGAAAGAGCCTAAGTGTCCATCAACAGACGAATGGATCAAGAAGATGTGGTTTATCTATACAATGGAATACTACATGGCAATGAGAAAGAATGAAATCTGGCCATTTGTAGAACATGGATAAAACTCAAGGGTGTTATGCTGAGTGAAATAAGTCAGGCAGAAAAGGACAGATACCATATGTTTTCAATGATAAGTGGAATAGAAGAAACTTAACAGAGGACCATGGGGGAGGGGAAGGGGAAGG